TCTGATAACGAATGAATCGTAATATGTGATTTAATCAAACTCAATACATAATGTGTGTATAGCAATCTTCTGAAATGAAAGATTATATAAGCTAATACAGTTAAATATCAAACCTACCCAAAAGTGAAGTAACATCCACGATTCTCTAAGTCTTAAAACTAATGCTATAGTGTAATGAGAGCGAAACAATTTCAATTCATTATGTTTGCTTAAGTTTATTAATTAGCTAGGCATTTCTAATTTAATAAATGAACACTCACAACAAACAAAAAACAATTTACATTTTCGTTATCTATAATTTCAATTTCCGTTTGTAAAAAAGAAGTCGATTTTCTAGAGTAAGCACTTATCAATCAATTCGATTGAAACTCACAACGATTTCATGAAAAAAGGCATGTACTTTTCAATGAATTTATGCAGTGAGTACTGATAGTCATTGTACTTGATATGAAGTTTAAGTATAATGACATAATTCCCTATAAGCTGCCTTTGTAATCAGCCTTTCGCTGTTCCCTTGACCTTTTACTATAGAATGGATTAAATCTCTCCGTAAATGGGGCTATTCGTGAGGTAGGATTTCATTTTGGAATTGATGCATCGTGATGATGATGAATGGAGCTGCGATTATCTTAAGAGTGATTGTTGATATCAGACAGGAATTGGCGGGATTTGTGTATTATCATGAGAATTATCGAGTTTTTGCTGTATTGTTTGAAAATTGTGGATTAGATTCAGGTTTATGAAGGCAATGTGCTACGATACAGAACAATTGATATTATTAACTTAAGTATGAAGTGCCTGTGCTCAGGTTTTTAACTTAAAGTGGCTCAAATATGCAATGAGTAATTGCAAATGTTATACGATGACGGACAGGGATTCTTGCAAGATTACAAACTTTTTTTTGCAATTTAATATCAAATAAGTGGATTATATTAATCTATTATAGCGCAGTCCTCATCAAACTGGGCTTTCCAACCCACTAGTATCACCAAAATTTTCAGGCATGTCTCTAGTGAGTCATCTCTGAAGAACACTTTATTATAAGCTGATGTCTTGTATCTAAGTGATTTTCATGTCTGTTTAAGATCTAATGACCCTATTTAAGAATCGAAAAACTAAATTTTACTGCAAGCCATTCAAAACTGAAGAGTAACATCACCCCCTAGCTAGAATCTTATTAAAATTCACTTGTCTTTAAATTCCCTAATCTAAATAATCCAAATAAGATCCATTCTCATTATCACTTACCATAATCTTTAAAATTAAATTGCAAATAAAAGTAAATGTGAAAATAAAATAAAATTCACAACATACGAGTGAATGCGAGAGAATAAAACTAATGAAATCATCATCATCGTTGCCCATTCGCAATGTGAACAAGCAAGCAATTGTATGGTGCATAATAAAAATGCTCAATAACAATAAACATCTTTTTCTCTACTCCGGATATCCGTTTTCCATATGGTTTTATGTCATTACGTTGATGTACGTTTATTTTGTTTTTTCACTCTCTGTTCTGTTTCTGAACATTCTTCTACATTCATGTGAGCGCGAGAGTTCTCATTAATTTGCACAATAAATGCTTATATCTTATACACATATTTATATACAAACAAATATATTTCAGGGAATATTTAGATTATTTATTTTTAAGAAGAAGAGACAAATAAAAGGAAAATGATTATAAATATGTAAAATATTTAAAACGAGAGAAGAAGAATTTAAAACTATATTAATATCACAGTGTATAACTAATTTGCATTTAAATCAATCGTCTCATAAAAATCTTATTTAGCTGATTTTTGCGATTGTCGTGTGGATTATTGTTGGCGTTTTGATTTTGGATAGCGAATTTTGAGTCTGGAGTTAATTTTGATTAAAACTTATTATTTTATTTGAAACTTAGTGCAATGGGGTACCGCTAGTGTAAATATTGTTATAGCTACTAGGTTTAAGTTATTCCAATCAAGCCTATAACAGAGAATAATTAACTGATATTGAACTCGTAGTTGATCAAGTAGAGTTGACTCGGTAGACGTGAATCCAGGTAGATTTGGGGTAGTAAAGTCGAGTCAACCTTTAGCTCTGCTTAGTGCTCTTCGGGTTGTGTTGAACTTTATTTTAAGTTGTAAGAGTCGTACACTCAAAAGAGTAATAAGACAAGCATCATCATGCAATTAGAGAATTATTTGAGTCAATTTCAATCTTTAACCTTCTTAAGCTGTCACCAGTTGCTAATTCTGCACCTGATTACTTAAAAAAATTTTACCCTGAATATTATAAACTAAACCTTAGTTACTAAGTCCGTATAATCCAAAGAATATGATTTGATTCATCATAAATTATAATCTCATTGAAATAAGAGACATTAAAATCACAGACAGAGATAAGAATGCGCATTAGTCTTCCAACTGTCCACGATTACTTTATAATATCGTTTTTCATACACAAAAAAAAGATATCTAATTCATTTGAGTTAGTAAAAGAAGATGAAATAAAATAAAATAAATAAATGAAGGAGTCAGTATCATGAAGAATAGTGAAAAGAAGAAACAACATAAGGCAAAAGAGGCAATAAAAGCAAAATGTAAGCCAGCAGCATGGGGATTTGGAATGAAATGAAATATAAAAAAAACCAGTAGCTATTTACGGACTAAGTTAACAGAAAGCAAAATAACAACATCAATAATGATCTCCAAAATGAGATTAAAATATTAAATACAAAAAAAAAATCTTTCGTTAGCTCTCACCAACAGCCACTGTTGTTGTTGTAGTTGCAAAGCAGCTTCTTTTCTTCAACAACAGCACAAGGCAGTGGTATCAACGAAGCAAAGAAGACATGAAGGAAAAAAGAGTTAAACCATGGAAAATATTTTTTTAACATTTAAATATCTTTTCTTCTCTCTCACTCACTTCTGATTGTGAATAAATATATGCTTTAAAATAAATAGATGTATAATGTTAAGATACAGAGTTGGACTAATAAAATTTTATGTTTGAGTTTGGTATTTCAAGATGCTGTAGAGACTTTAAAGAATCTACATGGGCTCAAAGAAGTCGATAAAGGCTCTAAGAGGTATTTACGAGCTCTTAACAGTCTTGTTTTATGAGTATATATCATATAAGCTAAACTGCCAGTGCGAGAGTAAGGACTCTGTGTCACAAATGGTAAGGTAACATACCCAGTATTTAAAAACCCTGTTTTCTAAGACCGTGGGTTCAATTCCCACCAGAGATAGATATTTCAATAATTATAGTGCTGTGGATACAACCATGCTCACAACATTAAACAGCAGAATCTTTACAGAGCTTTAAAAGCTTTTCAGGACTCTCTAGAAGCTCTGAGGTCTAAGTACAGGTTAAACGAATTCTTTTAACGGCTTTAAAAAATCTTCTAGAATCACTAAGAAATATATAAAGCTTCTCAATACTTTATCTAGGTTCAAAAAAATCATCATAAGCTTTAAAATTAATTTATTCTAATCATTCATTATCCTGAGACTCCCAAAAAAACATTGCCAGCCCTCCCAACTCTGCCAAAAAAAGAAAAGATATTGACAATAAATTTCATTTTGAATAAGATTTTTTTTTCCTGTTAAACATTCCAGTTTTAATGAACCACAAAAAATTGCTTGATCACCTCTTTTTATTTGAATATTTGAAGCACGCATTTCTAAATCACGCGGATGATCACGCAGCAGAGCATTTAAAGTTCACAAAAGGACAGCCATAAATAAGTGTTAAATTAAACACCAATAATCCCGTTACTCAAACCGGTTATTTCTCAGTTTCGAAAATATAAAAACTTTTTTAGACAATTATTTTTTTCGCTATAAATAAAGCAAGTGAAATGAAACTTTTGTCTCATTTGCAGTTTTACGTATCTTGCCGTTCCTGTTTGAAAATCAGCTTTTTTGGTTTGTGCTTCGTTCGTATTATGTAATATTAATCGTCTTAAGAATAGGATTACCATTTCAAAGATTAACTTGACATATTTTTGTAATCTTTCTGCTAAATGTTTCCATATTTCAATGAATAATAAAGCAGGATATTATGATTGTTGAGTCGAATTCATCAATGGCTTTCTGACGGTTGAAAAGAATTCTAATAAATCTGTCAAATCCGTTTTGGATAGTGACTCAATTATTTCTTCAAGGCTACACAATTCCAACTCATCAATATCGGTCACAAATGTACGGTAGTTTCACCTTTACAAGACTCAAATGATTAGCAAATTTTTTATCAAGTCAAACAACTGTCAACATCATCTCAATTTTCATGCAATACATTATCAACTTCCTCAAACTTTTTATCTAACAAATGACAAATAAGTAGTGTCATTTTCGTAAAGATGACTTGGAGAAAAAAAAGTCAATAAATTATATTAACAACAACAAAAAAATGTAAAGAGAAGACAAAAAATCGTCAAAACGAATAAACAGCACAAACAAAAAATATTTTAAGAGACAAGAAAAGAATCTTAATTCAATATAAAAATTCTAATGTGAATATAAAAATATTTTTTCCTGATTTTGCACACCTACGGATAGTAGTAATCAAGCAGAAAAAAAAAATATTTAATCTTGACACGCTACCTTGTTATTTGGCTAAAGCTACGATAAGAAATGATTCGACAAAAATCTTCTCAGCATATTGTTTCTAAGTTTGGAAGAAATATTTTAAATATTTGTGTTGACATCCCGAGTTGCACAACGTGGGCAATGTCATGTTGTCGTGTTTACGGCAAAGCGTCATGGAGACGAGACTTGGTCCTAGTAGCTTGACAGTCTGGCGTCAAATTAAAAGACGTCGCAAATATATTTGTTTTAAGGGTTGACTTGTCTCAAAAGGATAGTATTAGATATAGATATCCTGTTTCACTAATTGTATGCAGCAAAGGGATCTAACCAGGTCCAGAACCATTATTATTAAAATTTCTTACCTTAAGAATCTCTTCATCAGGCCAATTAAGTCACACAGCAAAGCATTTTTCTTGATGTAAAACATTATAAATTTTATTATTTCTTGCATGAACCTTTTGAAAATCTTGATTCATCCAATCTTGATTAATTTCTCATTATCATCAAAAAAAGGAATTTAAAATATTAATATAGAATAGCAAACAAAAAAATCAGCATATTGTATTTGTTTACAAAATTCCAAACAACTTCTTCAATTCGACCATCAAAGTCCAGTCTGTCTTAACTAGCTCATCACGGAAATAGTCCTTGCATGCATCGATGCTCTCACGTGATATCTATAAAAAAAGAGAAAAATAATTTTAATAAATTTCATTTCATTAATTATTTATCCCTTCAAGCACACAAACCGAGCATAAAGTACGAAAACAATTTTGCTCTGGTTCGAAAATAAAACTACAGGAAAAGTCCTTGACACGTAGTCATGGATGCATGGAGTAATGTCTATTTTATTGTGACCCAATTTCGGGATAATACGTATTTCTATTTTTAGATCAGCACAATAATAAAATCGAGAGAGAACATTTTACATCCCCGTCCTGTTGGAGTCTATTTTAACCGAGTTCCCTTGACACGTTGAAACTTTACGAGGATATATTTTAAAGTCTGCAGAGAAAATGTGATTAAAATGTTTTATTGCTGTCGATTTGTCTTTTTAGGAACTGTTGAGAAAGTTTACAATTTTAATTTATTTGTGCATCAATTAAGTTGTGGTTTAAGCCATAAAATAAACACAGTGAAAATTAGGAAGACTGAAATACCGGATTCAGTCAAGAGTTCGAGTCTCAAAAATTAAAACATTGTATTAAAAGGTAGCACGTCAAAATCTTTTTTTTGGATATAGTTTGAATATTTATTTGAAATGTTTTGAATCCCTTATAATCTTAGAACCTCAATCTTAGGCATATATTGAACTTTTATTTTTATCTCCACACAAAATCTATAAAAATGAATATTTTCTCGTAAAGTTCATCTTCATACATTGAAAAATCCCTCCCAAATGCGCCTTCAATCTCCAATTCCTATCACACATCATTCAACTCTCAACAATCCTGGATATGACCTAGTTTTACGTGCAATCTACTTTCAGTTCAGTTCGTTATCCCAAATACGATTGCATCGTAATAGAAAATCGTTATTTGTACGTTCAAAGAGTTCTGTAATGACGTCAGAGAGGAGACGAAACGAGACACAGATAAAATAATATAGTGATGGGAGGAAAAAGTTGAACAGCATAAAAAAAATACCAGCAACAAACCAATTTAATTTGATTACTATGGCAAAAAAAAGGGAGTAAAAAAATGCATAAATGAAGAATTTATCATGCTACATATTCAAGTATTTATCAATGAATTATTTCCAAGGCATTACAGAGCATTCAACCAAACTACCAACCACAATTTATTTTTAATCATTTTATTAAAAGTGTTTGGCGAAAAGGAAATAGTGGGTGCTTGCCGCCTAAAACTATATTCACATTAAATGAAAAAAAAAGACTCTATATGGTAAGTGAAATATTTAAAAAGTTAACTTTCTCAAGCAACCATGGCATCGAATATATGTTTAAATATAGAGTCAACTTTAAATGTCTTCAATATACCATAAGATATAGAAAACGACATGCAAGTTCCATGGCATGACATGTAGGTGGAAATAAGGTGCGCGCAGTTCGTTTAGACGCACTTAATTTTTTTCAAATTTTCCTTTAATAAACACTATTAAGACAAAAACTATTTTATGTGTTTATAGCTGTGACCAATTAGGTTATAAATATAATAAAAGTATCTGACTAAATGCTTTGCTTAAGTAATTAAAATAATTTTTTCAAAAATTACAACAACAAAGTGCGCAGTTCGTTTAGACGCACTTTGAAAAATCTAAAATTTTGTCTTATTTACGTTTCGTAGAAAACTTAATCGTTTCTAATATTAATCTATCAACAAAAACGAGTAATTACTGAGGGTTTTAGAATTTTCCATCAAGTTTTTCCAGAGATTTTCCTTCATTAAAGTTTTCATGTTGCAAAAATTTTGATAAATTATTTATCCAATAATTTTGCGTTAAATTATTATTCTTTTAACTGATTTCCATAGATAATTGTCCATAATATTAGAAAATTAACAGATATTTAAGCTTTCTTCTAAGTATAAGGCGAAAATATGTGAAAAATATAATTATGGTGAAAAATTTCCACCACTCTCATAGATTAATCAACAAATTTTGACAAAACTGTAGATACCATAATAAATTTGAATAGACCAGCTTATTTATCGTATTAAACTTAGTTAAAAACAGAAAACTGCACAGCTCTATGGCTAATGGAACTTGAAAATTTTACTGATAAATTAAGTTGTGGTGAAAAAATTTCACCATAGAAAAATAAAATTTTAAAAAACGTTGTTTTAGGCAATTGTTTCATTTAAATTAGGTTGTAAAAGTGTTTCTGTCTCAAAATTAATCAATTTAAAACATGAATTAAAACCTTAGACATAGTTTTTTTAAAATTTTATTTTTCTATGGTGAATTTTTTCACCACAACTTAATTTTTCAGTAAAATTTTCAAGTTCCATTAGCCATAGAGCTGTGCAGTTTTCTGTTTTTAACTAAGTTTAATACGATAAATAAGCTGGTCTATTCAAATTTATTATGGTATCTACAGTTTTGTCAAAATTTGTTGATTAATCTATGAGAGTGGTGGAAATTTTTCACCATAATTATATTTTTCACATATTTTCGCCTTATACTTAGAAGAAAGCTTAAATATCTGTTAATTTTCTAATATTATGGACAATTATCTATGGAAATCAGTTAAAAGAATAATAATTTAACGCAAAATTATTGGATAAATAATTTATCAAAATTTTTGCAACATGAAAACTTTAATGAAGGAAAATCTCTGGAAAAACTTGATGGAAAATTCTAAAACCCTCAGTAATTACTCGTTTTTGTTGATAGATTAATATTAGAAACGATTAAGTTTTCTACGAAACGTAAATAAGACAAAATTTTAGATTTTTCAAAGTGCGTCTAAACGAACTGCGCACTTTGTTGTTGTAATTTTTGAAAAAATTATTTTAATTACTTAAGCAAAGCATTTAGTCAGATACTTTTATTATATTTATAACCTAATTGGTCACAGCTATAAACACATAAAATAGTTTTTGTCTTAATAGTGTTTATTAAAGGAAAATTTGAAAAAAATTAAGTGCGTCTAAACGAACTGCGCGCACCTTATGTGGAATTTCTTCAGGCGTTTGACGTGGTATGGTTAATTTAGTAACTTGGCTTCATTACCAATAAGCTTAACATGTCACAAATTATGTATGATAGTAAGAAGTCTCTCTGCCTTTTTCTATTTTCGGATACGACTCAAACATTAAGCCTAATCATAATTCCATGACTACTGAATTTTTATTTTCTTTAATTTTTTTTTTATGTTCGTCATTGTCGTATGTATTATAATAATGTAGCACATCATTGGAGGAGTAAAGAGGGACTATTTGGATGTGACGACTACGTATTGTCAGTGTTAGGAAAAAAGGAAAAGTTTGATTCACCGATTTTGGGTAGAATTCAATAGGTGAAATGTGTCCTAGCATTACTGTTAAGTATCTGGACAGAGAATTCGTGCATAGACGTTTACAATCTCATCTTAAACATACATCATCAGTGAACGATCCCTAAATAATTTTTAATTTTAAAGTAATTTGACGGTAGGAAGGAAATGTGGAATGACAATCACAAATAAGAAGAAGAAAGTAAATAAATAAATAAACGGAGGCATAGCGAGACAGATAAGTGATGGAAGCAAATAGCTTTGCAATTGAAAAGGATGAATCGTTTTGTTGTTGATGCTTTTTCTCAAGAAGAAACGAGAATGTAAGGGAAAACATAATTATGTTGAGAAGAAATGCTGAAAATTGATGACTTGGGCGCATTTCAAATGGAATTTTGTAGCTTAGAAACGTATCTGTCATCTTACAAATTTACTAAAGTCAGAAGTGTGGGAAGTTATATCAACTGTTGATATTTTACTTTTTCGATAAAGTTATGTTACGTTATCTAACATATTAATTCATAATTGGAGCCCATAGTAATTACATGTATTATTATTAGACATTTACTTAATTTTCTGTCGATAAGCTCGGAGGCTGAAGTTCAGATGAAATAATTACACGAGTCAGTCGCTAAGGAAATATTGACAAGATTAAAAATAGTTTGTGACTGTAATGATATCATGAGAATATTTTTGGGATGTTTATAGATAATTGTGTTATGAAGGAAGCTTGGGGGTGGAATGAAAACTATTTTTGTTGATTCAAGAATATTTTATGAATTTTTTGGGTTTTATTCTTAGAATTTTTGATTATTCAAACCTTTCAGAAGAAAATAATAAGAGGGAGGAGGGGAGAAATGAAGGGGTTGGGGGGGGGGAGGGGTTCTTTTAACTTGATTTTTTGTATAATATGAAAAACGTGAGAATAATCATATAACTCGACTCCAGCCAAGTAACACCAAGTGTGATAAATTAATAAAAATACAACTATCCTTAAAGTTAAGAGTTCGATTCTCAGTTAAAACTATTTAATGAATTATTGCGTTCCTTTGTAGATAAGCGTAAGATTCAATAATTTTAAAACTAAGCACAGTCAAACTGACAACCAAAACCAGCTTCAATCTACCCAAAATTCCAGTTTCATAAATTCAATTAAATTTAATTTCCCCATTACACTTCTGTACAAATGAATGATGAAGTCGCACATTCTCATGGGAATCAAACTGAAATTAATATGTGTAAATGCGTACGATTAAGCATGATAAAAATTATTTTATTGTTCTCACGTTCATTCAAAAAAATATATATAAGAGAATATTATTTTATGCAACACTGAATTGAAAATGACGACGACGACAAAAAAGAAGAAGCTCATGAAGGTGACGGCAAAGCTATAAAACAAAAAAAAAAGAACACAAAAACTTCCAGTTCACATTTCCGATGGAGAATGAAAAAGAATAAAGATAGTTTTGAGATATTCCATTCATTTTGAGTCAGCTACACACAAAATATTTTCATTCAACTAGAGACGATGAAAAAAAATAAGAATAATATTTTTGTGTCTTGTGAATGAATTCTTTTCTGTCAATTCAATGAAAAATGAGCATACCAAAAATAATTCATTTTGCTATTTTTTTACACATCTTATTTTTTGCGTGTAATTCTGTCTCACTCTCGTCCATCCATCCGTTCGACTATTTATTTCATGCATTTCGATTCTCT